TTGTTTGAATGAATGTAAATTAAATTTTGGATTTGAAAACACGTTTACATACCTTTGGCTGTAGTTGAATTTGCAGAGGTGCTGACTGTTATTGGTTATATTCCAGAAGGTCCCAAAATGTTAAGATGTTAACACAAATTTTAGTTTTGTATTACCAAACTATAAAAAAGCATCTGCGACGTGCAGACTGAAAGCGTATTTGAACGAAAAACCCGCCAAGCAAAAATCTATTTAAAGTAAACAAGCCCCCCGCTGCATCCCTTTTTCAGTAGTTTCGAACTAGTTAAAAATTCGCCAGAGTTCGTTCTGCATCCCTTTTTCTATAGTTTTGAACCAGTTCTAAATTCGTCATTTTAGATATAGATTTCTAAAATTGTTTTTTTTTTTTTTAAGTACCGCATATCGCTGCTTTTGAACTGGTGGCGATCTATTTACTATCGGGCTGGTTCGCTTTTGGCGATATAGATCTAGTACGGAACTACAAATTTGGTTCACCAGTTCGGGGTTTCCCTACAGGGTAGGCTGACTTTCAAAACGTCCATTGCTTTGCATCAGTACAAAGTATAATATTCCGCAACGCGGAATTTGCCTGAATGTATACTTTTCCAAAACGCATCCGAAGAGTTATCAAAACGCATCGCTAGAGTAGTCAGCGCATCAGAAACAAAGTTGATGCATCGCTCGTTTTTTGTAATCTTTTAATTAGCTAAAATATTCAAGGTAATGATGATTGGGTCATTCACACTAATACAGTTACTAGTTCTGGATTAACCCTTTTGCTTCATTCCCATTTTTTAATAACTTTATATAGCGTTAAGTATGTTGTACATATTAAGATAATTTTTGTGTTATCATTACATACAAATGTAGTGATGTTCTGGATTATCAGTTTCCAATACACGGTACTTAACTCTTCAAAATAAATTCTGTGCCCAATATACATATGTACATATGTGTCAAAATATGTATATATTTTAATATATAGAGCTCTAAGATCACCTACATTCAACTTTTGTTAAGTCGATTTTATTCCATATTTCTGGCTTACTGGAAATAAAAACATATGACACATAAGTTTTGTGTTGTTTAAGTGTTAATTGTGAAAATCATATTAAGGACTAGCAGAGCCAATTCATCAGCAGCGGCCACTCCATCATTAGATATTTACGAGACACATTAATAAAATACTAAAATTTGCAAACGATCACGTGTTATAGCCACTCCAAAAGTGCAGAAACCTTTTATGGACCGATGAGGGCAAAATTATTCTCTGTGGTGGAAAATGCTCAAAAGAATATTTAAGACGTCCACCTAACATGGAATATGGTCCAAGGTATGCAAGGAAAACACCGAAACATGGCGGATCATCTATCAACTTGTTAGTAGAAACGTCTAATACAAAAGGTTATCGACAAATATCTGAATGTCAATAATTTACAAACCAATGCCACTGAAATAGGAATTCCTCTTAAATGCATCATGCAACAAGAGAACGATCCAAAACAGACTGGTAAAGTGGCAAAGGATTGGTGTCGTAGGTATTAACAGGCATATTCTGCGTTTGTAACAAAAATTTGGTTACTGGTACATATTTGTTACCGGTATTTTTAAACCTTTTTCGTATTCTGTGCACTCTTGTAACCGGAAAATTTCGTTACCATCTCATCGCCATGGTTAATAGCGCAATTTTTATGGCGCTAGCTTAATAACGCCGGAGCCACCTGTGGTGTCAGCGCACTAGCTCAGCGCAATAGCGCGGTGTACTGATTTGAACACGGTGCCATCTGAGTGTCACCACAGTGCCAATCGTCTTATAGTGCAACACACCACACAGTGGTATCATGTTTTAAGTGTCGGCGCTGAGCAACGCCAACCGAAGTTAATTCCTAGGAACGTAGTAAATGCCACGATATTCTCATCATTCTTGAGTAAAATCTTTAGGTATGCCAAAATACATAAGTTTCTGGCGATCTCACCACTCAAAAGCAAAAACTAAATACGTGTAATTTTTGAAAGAACTAAGGCGAATTGTGTGTGTCATGTGTTTTTTTGGTGTTAATGGCGCTAGCGCTTTTCATATATTAGTGATGGCGCGGCTACTCCGACTACGGTGTTAGTGCAATTGCTCCGCACAGCGCAGTGTTACCCTATGCCTACCATCTCATAAATAGGTAACAAAATATTTCCCCGTGAAATATGCAACACCCAAATTTATACAAAACTTCATAGTTGAATTGCTGAATAAATTAATACGCTACCAAGGTTCGTAGAATTGCGGTTTTGTTTGGTAACAAAATTTGCCGGTTTACCAAATGTTTGGTTGCAACCAGAATAGACCTGTATGTAATGGTTGATATTTTTTAAATTTAGCTTTAGAATTTTTTTAGTATCATTCTGTAAGCAACTGTTAATAAAAATATTTGCTTTTACTCACAATTTTTTGCTCCGTACTTCAAAACGATGTGGCGTTTTTCGTTGTTTAGTAGCACTACTTTTTAGTTGAATAAAGTTTTAAATGGGTTTTCGACTTTTTCACTCACAAAAGCGTTAGTTAAATGCAGCTTTTACAATTTTCCATTTAAGGTTTATAATTGAAATGTTTCATAGATAAAGCTCAAAATGGGTGATATGTTTAGTTATTTCCTCTCGGAAACTTAACTTTTTAAGTTTTATTTTTTTTGTCTTAGCTAGTATGTTCACTTTAATTGATTTTATTTTCTGGTTTGTTGCTTTTAGAAAGCCTGATATGTTTTCTGATATGTTAAGGTGTAGCCTTAAATGGAAAATATATGATGTAATTATTATTCGTGCATTAATAAAACTATAATGTTAACTTAAAAGTTATCAAAATTAATTATTTGAATTTTATGTACATATGTATGCAGATTTTGTACATATTTAGTATTTCATCGACAGTCAAGTCTACACACACAAAAAATAACACATACGCGAAAGTAGGGAACAAAAATAATAATACTTTGTTTTTAGTTTTTATCTGAGGTCAGATGGTTTCTTAAAATGACTTTGAAATTTTAAAGACATGATTACTTAATGCAAAAAGGAACAGTGGTGGAAAAAATGGAGACGCGATATTTTAGCAAATTTTTCTTCTTTCTTTTGTTCATTGAATACTTATTATTTTTTTTTTATAAAAGCATAGCTCATTATCTAACAAAAATCATAGAAATTCACATTTCAAATTTTGTGCAAAAATTATAAAAATTCTGCAAGATTTAATTTGAATTTTCAGTTTTTAAACAGACTTTGTAGAGTTTTTAGGATGCAGTTTTATAGCCCATTAAATTCTAGTACAATCAAATACAAGTTTGAAGTTGCTAAAAAAAATCGCGCTGATTTTTTATAAATTTTTTTCTGACTGTAATATGAAGCTTTTTGCATAAAAAAATTGCCGTGAAAAATTTGGCAAAAATCAAGGCAATTTTTTTTGGAACCTAAAACATAAACTTTATTATACAAAAATTTATTGGGCAATTTTGCAGAGTTTTTCTAATTTTTGCGCAAAGTTTGAAGTATCAATTTATATGGTTTTTGTTAGAAACTCAGCTATACTTTTATAACAAAATAATAAGTATTAAATATAAAAAAGAAAATTGGGAAAATTTGTTAAAACGTCGCGTCCCCATTTATGTTCCCACCACTGTATTTAAAATAAATTCAGTATCAGATAAAGGAAACAATTCTGTAGGTAGTATGTAGTAAAAAGTTTAAATTTTGAATTGAAAATGTCATCTTAAAATTGTATCCTTAAATATCCATAAAATTCGAAATATGTATGAATTTTTGAAAGCACTTTATGTTATGTTATACACGACCACATCCTCGGATTTTCTCATTCTAACTTTATTTTCTTGAAAAATAACGTGAATTAAAAGGGCATTTTCAGCACTTATTCGTCCATGTGAAGCAAACAGTTTTTTTATTCTACAGAATTTTTTTCGTTTGGTAGCCACTTTATTATTCTACGTTGCACTTACAGCCTACATCATTTTTCAGTTAAATTGCTTTCGTGAAATTGGCTGTTAAGGTTTTAAATAATTTTTTAACTAATCATATCTTTCAATTTGTTTTTTTTTGTCGCATGGAGTAATTAAGCATTTTAATTTTATCATAGTTACGGCATTACCGCCTTAGATTTTCAATTAAATTTTTTTAAACTGTAGACTTTAGTACATCTAGGTTTTTAAGAAAGTTTTATTACACAAATTTACTATAAGTTTTAACATTATACAACGTTCAACTAATTTTTTCTCCATTAACAATTGTTCTTTCATTGTTTTGAAATTTATTTATTAGCTCTACACTTCCCCCACTTACAAGATATCAATATTTACACATTTAAAAATACACATCACTTAAGGAATTCTCTCTTAGCTTGTCTCTCTTCTGATTGTGCTTTCCCTAAGTATTCACTAGAAATCTCTTTTTGGAACATCCCTTTATCACAGGGCAACGCAGGGTGTTGTGCTACACATTTTCCCCACACCAACTTTCGATTATGTGTGTATAAATTTTCTTACTTTTCCCTTACACCTTCCCTTCCTAATTTTTTCTTCGTAATTAAAATAAAATGGCACAAACACGAAATAAAAATATCATTTACTATACACTCGTTTATTTTTTCATTGAGTTTTTGCTATTACTTTCGATGTCCACTTATTTCACAATCCCACTGAAAATCACTGCAATTTATATCTAAACCGAAGCTTGCTGGTAAAGAAACCACGTATTTATTGCAATGATTCCTCAAAAGCGAATCAAACTTATATTGCTGTCCGATTTCTGTATTCATGCACTATTTCGCTATACACAAACACCGCCGATCACTATTGGAAAAACTTAAAAAAACTTGGCTGCGCCTTAAATTATACAACAATTTTCCTACGGTAACTTTTAAAAACTAATTTTCCAATGCCCTAAGATAGTATAAAACGATAGAGCACTGGCTTTGCCGAAAATTTTAGGTTTAAGCAATTACTCACTGATTCTGTGTCTGCGTCGAGATGCTAAGCCTACAATTATGAATTCTTCATGACTTTTCATTAGACTTTTTCCGTAGAGATTGGAGATTGCGTGTATTGAGAGTAAAAGCGTTGGCGTGTGGTGCGGGTGGGCTTTTGCACACGTGCATACATTCAGGACCCATATAGAAGAGGACACAAATGCGCCAAACGCAGGCGAACAGTAGCAGGGATGCCAACTCTGTCACGGCCGGTTCTCGCCAAAGTCCTGAGAAATACCTAATTTTGAACGGTATTTACCCCAAATGATTCTCTTTCAATAAGTATTTTAAGCACATGATTATCCTAATAAAAAAAACTATTGTTACATATTTTGAAATTAAAAGTCGCAGATCAAAAAAATGCAACTAGAGCGAAAATCCTTAATGCGAGCTCAGACAGTTTGACGAGGAGCGGTACTAGAAAGTCCTTATATTTTTAATTAAAGTACCGTGATGCGTAAAACCAAAACAGCTGTACAGTCACGAAGAGCTGAGACAAGTTAGAACTTTGTTGGAATGAGTTGGCGATCTTAAATCTGCTCAGGGATGGGTAGACTTGGGACAATAATTTACTTAATCATTAAAGAATATGATTACATGTTTGAAATGACTGTAGTAATCCAGTAATTTGGGAAATTATTAATATTGACTTTTTTCTTTGTTCATATTGAGGCCAGAGTAGCCTAACTGATTTTCAAAAAAAAAATGGTGATGCACCTAAAAATACACCACTAGAATCGAAACGGTAATAGCCCGAGGCACGCCCTTTTATTATTCTTTTTAGTAAAAGACTGCATCTATTTTTTGTGGATGATTATTATTTTTATTAAAAAAATTTCTTTTATAGATAGACTCCTCTGCTCTTCATGGCTTTACTAACAAAGTAATTAAGTGAGTACAATTTAAATTAATCAATTGATTACAACTAAGACAAGTATCTTAATCCTTTTAGAAACGATGCATTCTTTATTTGTATTCTTATATAAAAATATGAGTTTTCACAAAAATTTGCAACTTTTTCACTCTAAGCTAGCGATATAAAATATTCATGTATGTGTCTCAGGGATGATAAACGAGCTTTTTAACTGTGCCAAATGGCCAAAAAATGTACTAAATCAGCCAAAAAAGTGCCAACATTTAAAAGGCTATAACAATGTTTATATCGTCGCTTTGCGCGCAATACCCCGTATAAACCAAACTCAATACCAAGTTAGCAAAAAAACTTATTTTCCTCAAAACATTTGAACGTTTTTCTAAATGAACTAACCAAATATGAGCTTCCACTATAATTATTTACCATTAAATTTGTGGAATAGGGAACCATTGAGACGGGGTAACGAAAATACATTTTTTTTTTTTACCGAGGGGCCAAGAATTTTATACTAAAATGTATGATAAAATATTGAAAGCAAATTAAAAATATAATATATGAATGAATTTCATCCACACACTGTTAAACTTGGTTTTTTATATTTTAGATTACCACGAAACAAAAATGTATTCACAAAACCGTGGTTAACATGTCAAATAGTCACTTTACGCACCTAATAACATATTTGCAAAGGGGGAATTCCCGTAGCCGCCTCGTAAACTACGAGTTTTATAAAGTTTAAGACTTTATATAAGAAGAAGACTTCATTAAGAATATATCAAGTTAATCAACAAAAGCATACAAATATTTTTATAAAAAAAATAGTTACAAAAAATAGTTGCATTTAATACAATTGAAGTTTCATAAAAATATTTTTCAAAAAATTTACTTTTATAGAAATAAGGAAGTTAAACACACATAAATATGTACTTTATATTCGATGTAGTACATACTAACTAATTATAAATTTTGTTTACTGTTTATTCCGTTCAATTTAAAAAAATGGTTACGAATTGTTACCAGTACGTGCAAGTTTTTAGTGGAAATGCGTTCAATAACCCAAAAAGTTAGCAAGAGAGCGAATTCAAGAGCTAACAACCCGAAAGAGAGGAGGAAATTCTTGCAAGTAAAATTAATACTAGTTAAAAAATCAGTCATATTTCAAATTCAAATGCAAACACAGTAGGGGTATTCTCAAAGTCTTGCACGAAAAGCAAAAATACTATTTCTAATTTCGAAGAGTACGAGGGCACCCCATTGCAAAGTGGAAGAATGCATGGGTAGCAAGCAGCGAAAGCATGTATCAAATACAAAAACAAGGGACAGCAAAAAAAAAATGAAGTGAGCGAGATGAGAGGAATGAAAGAAATATGTAGCAATTCCAACAACTAGCACAGGGTCGCATTTATCTTTTTGTTATTTTGCAAAATATATACATAGATTTCGACGTTGCATATTTTGCAGCGATAGGAAATGTTGTTTCCCATATATTCTGTTGTTGTGTGTTTGCAAGTTATGCAATTCATGCAATCCGCGGGACGTGCAATGGCTTTGCACGATTTCCAGAATACCCCTAGGGTTTTAGAGAAAGATTTGACGAAAACATACTCAAAACAAAACAAGCGAATAAAAAATGTGGATATACAATTGAATTATAATGTAGATTCTTTGATATTTAAGACGATGGTAAATATTCTCCAAAATTGCTCGCCAAAACTTAACCATCAGAAAGTTTCAAACTGGCGTAAGTTGTATATTTTTACAAGTTTTGCGTTAAACAACTTACTCTGATAATTTTCTCTTCCTCTCAATTTTTTCTCTATTTTTTTACGCTCTCGCTGCAAGTATTTACTGGAAAAGTTATTTAATAGACCAATTATGAAATCAACTTTGTTGATTTTAGCAGGTATCTTGTTTTCAATAAACACCACACATTTATTTATATGAGGTAGAAACAGATGAAGATATTTTGGTCGACAAAAATTCGAAATTCCAAGTATAAATTTCAACAGAATTGTGTTGAGGTGCCCTATTTTGACAAAATTGTATCAAAAATGTCAATGTATTTTAAGCTTCCGAAATTAACCAAAAAAGTACAATTGAGCCGTTTAGTGCACAAATTGATTAACTCCATCAATAAAGAATTGAGAGATGCGTTAAAATAATGTACATTATTTTTTAAAACTCCTTTTATATTATAAAATCAAATAAATAATATTTTTATAAATGTTATGTTCTATTGTAAGTTATATAAAGTTAATATAAACGTAATAAGTTATGACTAACTAACTGCTTTGACACTTAAATTTAAAATTATTTAAAAAGTCATCAAGTCAAGTTAATCAAATTCATCACTGGTGTATCTTGTTTCGGCATTCCTTAAAAACATGCTTATACTTAGAATGTACATAAAACTTTAAAAATTATTAAAAAAGTACATCTGCTTTTGCTTAAGGTTATATTTTATGTCTTTTTTCTGTTCGTTCGATTATATCGATAACAAAACTGATACAAATATCGATAACAAATTTCGATAGCGAAATTGATAATAATATTGGCAGCAAAATCGATTAGAAAATCGATAAAAATATCAACAAAATCACACATCGATTAGAAAATCGATAAAAATGTCGATAACAAAGTCGATATAAATATCGATAACACAATCGATAAACAATTGGTAAATAATCGATAACCAAATCGATAGCGAAATAGCTAAATAATCGATAAGAAATCGACAAATAACCGATAACAAAATCGATAAAGAATCGATAACCAAATCGATAACTATACCGATTAAAAAACGCATAAAAACATTGTTTATTATATCGATAAGTCCCGAAAATCCCGAATATCTCTAGAATCCCAAAATAGTTCCCATATTGAGTCTATGTGCCTCTATCTATATCCTTGTCTCTATAATTACCTTTATTTTAATCTTTCTTCCTCTTCCTTCATCTTTACTTTTATCGGTATCCTCATCCTCATCTTTTTCTTTATATTTATCTTTTTTTACTTTTATGTTTATCATTTTCTTCATCTACATATTCCCCTTCACCTTTGCCCATATATAAGTGAAGGTTTAAATTTACCTTGGTCTTCATTTTTGCCTTTATCTTTTCGCATCCTTGTTTTTGTTTTTATTTTTACCTATGCCTTTATCCCTTTCTTTATCTATGTACGTACCCTTTCTTTATCTATGTACCTTTACTTTCATTCCTGTATTGGTCTTTTTGTAAGTGTTATTCCTTAACCTTTTATTACCAAGTTTTTGTTAAATTTATATCATATGTACATACATTCAAGAAGCACTTGCTTCCGTCCCAACCATTTCCATTGCACTATTTCCGTTGCATAATTTCCGTTGCACCATTTCCGAGTGCAATTTCCGTTGAATTTGCCAATTTACTCCCAACCAACCAACCGCCGCTAAGGAAGTTTTACTTCAAAAATTTGTTTTACATATTGGTCTTTCCATGAAAATGTAAACCGAAAATGCAAGCAAATGAGTTCGAACGGCTTTATAACTTTAAATTTCGTATTCAGGTGACAGAAAAAGGTTTTTAAAACGCGAAACGGTTTAATAAAAACAAACCAGAGATAATTTATTTTAAAAAATTTAACTATTGTAAAGGTACCGTATTTTGAGAGATTTATGTTACTCCATAAGCGTACGAACGCCGCGTATGGCTGTATGGAAACACCCATATGTGACATTATTCGTCATAAAAATTGTTGGTCAAAATGGTCTGCATATCGAATTCATCCAAAATTTTAAATCATTCCCAGTTTTCCTCACAAAATTCCTATTCCACCAAAACAATAGAATTCTCCCCCAGTTGGCATCTCTGAACAGGAGGTACTCAGTCCAGTCCTTTTCCTTTTCCAGTTCTTTTATTTTGAGAAAGCAATATTTTGTCATAAGCGCAAACAAACGTAAACAAAATTATTAGTATTATCCTGCAAAAAGTGGTATTTAATCTACATAGTTATGTGCATACATATTTATGTATATACTACATATATCATTATTTTGTAACATTCGATGTTTGCTTTTTTGGGGGTAGTTACGGCACTGACAACAAAAAATATTGGGGGTTGAGCGAAATGTTTTCATTTCTCTCTAGTGTCCGAATGTCATTTCTGACAATTCCAATTTATCTCGTAACATTTAATATTG